GTACAAATGTCTCTTTGAGAACCTGCTTCCAGTTCTTTTGAATATATACCTAGGTTCAAGGTATCTAGGAACCCAAGATCCTAGGTTCAAGTGATCCTCCTACCTCAGCCTCCCAAAGTGGTAGATTACAAGTGTGAGCCACCACACCCAGCCTGTAATTGAATTTTTAAAAATTCCATTGTATATAACTTTTATGTTAAAATTAAACTCCAAAGTCTAAACTAATAGATTTAAGTTCTCATCCTACCTTAGAAAAGTTTTACTAAGCATTTCCTCATAAAAGCCTACAAGAGTAGGTGGTTATGGTTATAGAAGGAATATTCAGTTAAGGAAAAGCTCCTATGTCATCCAGCTAATACAGTATGTTGTCTATTAATTAGGCTTACACCAGGAACTGCCCATGACACCTCCTGGCCCAGAATGCCTTAATCCAAATTAGAATCCACTCTCTAATCCTGAAACTATTGACAAATGTGATATACAATGACAAGAGCTGGCATCTGCAAACACAAAATCCTAGGATTTTCAAACTTTTCCTTCTCCCTACCTGCTACTAATAGAACACCAGGCCCACATCGGCACTTACTTTTTCTTCAGAGCCTAATTCTCTACTCCCACCACCTTCAAGAATGTTACAAGAGAGGTAGTGGGCGTTTAGCAAGACCCCCTCAGACACCAACAGCCATTCCAGAAAAATAATTGCTCACATACCAACGGCTGCCAACAAGAGCAGCTTCCCAGCGGCATGTTTTAGTAACCTTAATGTAGCAGAGAGCGACGCCTCCTGCAATACAAATTCGGCTTAGAAGAAAGGATCTACAGATTGTGGAAAAGTACAACTTAAAAAGCAAACACCACAGGCTCCAGTAGAGCAGGAAAGCAAGCAGAGATTTCTAAATACGGAACTCAATTGTAAGAGTTCACTGTGCCTTAATTCTCACTATCATTTGCTCTGTCAAAAATAGAACCTTCCATGTCTTGATCCATTCAGAACAAGCCACAGCAGGCACAGCTCTGCTTCCACAGGGCAGCCAGGTCAGAAAGGCCACACAGGGAAATGGAAGAGGCAGCCAGCAGGTTTTCTTAGGGATTATACTGCTCCAGCTTTTATCCTTCTTCCCAGCTATTTTGGTGCCAAGAAAGCTGCAGGGAGGTCTTTGCTATGAAAAAGCAGTTATCTTTTTACCAGCAGGGCTGATGAAGCAGTCTCAGGGCTGTAACTCCCTCTGCTGCCCAATGTTTTCTTTGCATGCTGTAGTTGGTTTAATAAATTCCAAACTCAAACACGTTAAAAGAACTAAAGCAGCCCTTTATTTCAAAATACAACCAAAAAGGCATGAGTTCAGATAGGAGAGGACTATAGCTGGAATGCAAAGTTCTAAGCTGGATTGACTTCTACACTTCCCTACAAATCTCCTCTATCTGAGACAGGATTTCTTTTATCCAGTTTAATGAATCTCTAGCACCTAGAAAAGGAGATGGACTTATTGGTCCTTCCTCGCTCACCCTTAATAACACCGCCTGTAGCAGAATTTAAGGTAAGGCCTTGGCTGGGCGGGGTGGCTCACGCCTGTAATATTAGCACTCTGGAAGACAGAAGCAGGATTGCTTGAGCTCAGGAGTTAGATACCAGCTTGAGCAAGAGCGAGACCCCGTCTCTACTAAAAATACAAAACGTTTTAGTCATGGTATGCACCTGTAATCCCAGCTACTCAGGAGGCTGAGGCAAGAGTATTGCTTGAACCCAGGAGTTTGAGGTTGCAGTGAGCTACGAAGACACCACTGCACTCTACCCAGGGCGACAGAGCAAGAGTCTGCCTCAAAAAAAAAAAAAAAAAGTGGGACTTATTCATCTTTCAAGATCCAATTTAAACAGCGCTTAAGGATGTGACATTAAAACTATTTGTTGGCCGGGCGTGGTGGCTCACGCCTGTAATCCTCGCTCTCTGGGAGGCCGAGGCGGGCGGATTGTTTGAGCTCAGGAGTTCCAGACCAGCCTGAGCAAGAGTGAGA